TCAGCAGATGGGAGATTTCTCTGTGTCTGTCTCTTTCTCTCTTTTTGTGTGTGTGTGTATGTGTGTGCCTCTCAAATAAATTAATTTTTAAATGGTTATGAAAAACTGTACAGCATCTTATAGTTCCTTTCTGTGTTTATTTATAGATATTGAACATCTGAATAGACAATCACAAATACTATTGATAGGGTTATCTTGTTTGTGAAATTATTTAATCAAAGTATTTTGAATTTCTGCATTAGAGAACTTATAGTTTAACAGAAGTTAAAGATGGAAACATATTTCAAAGACAATTCATAGGATGAAAAACAAATTATAAATACATTACTTTTACTAATAGTTATATTTTTCATATGTTTACATTATATCATAATGATTCACATGATCAGAAGTTCAGCTCAATCATCAAAACACCTCCAAGAAATTGAAAAAGACTTCTGGGTGGGTATTAAACATATTATCACTTGCAAATAAAGATGTGCATGTTTAGAGAAAATACTAACTTAAAAAGAATAGTTAATTTAAAAACACAAATCAACTTTATCTCTAGGAGATAGGTGTATATCCACGTTAATAATAGCATTATTCATGATAGCCAAAACATGGAAGCAATGCAAATGTCTATTGACAGATGAAGGAATAAACAAAATGTGATTTAATAAATATAATGCAATTTTATGTAGCCTTTAAAAAGAACAAAATTCTGGCCGGTGCCTCGGCTCATTAGGCTGATCCTCTGCCTGCGGCACCAGCACTCCGGGTTCTAGTCCTGGTTGGGGCACCGGTTCTGTCCCGGTTGCTCCTCTTCCAGTCCAGCTCTCTGCTGTGGCCCGGGAAGGCGGTGGAGGATGGCCCAAGTGCTTGGGCCATGGGAGACCAGGAAGAAGCATTTGGCTCCTGGCTTCGGATTGGCACAGTGCGCCGGCCATAGCAACCATTTTGGGGGTAAACCAATGGAAGGAAGACCTTTCTTTCTGTCTCTGTCACTGTCTAACTCTGCCTGTCAAAAAAAAAAAAAAAATTCAGACAAATGGTACATCATTATGGTAAGTGAAATAAGCCAGTCATAAAAAGGCAAGTACTGTAGTGATGCTACTTACGTGAGGCATCTAGTACAGTGAGACTCATAAAAATAGAAAGTAAAATGGTGGCTGCCATAGGCTGGGAGGCAGGGAAATGGGCAATTGTTGTTTAATGGGGACAGAGTTTGTTTTATGAAAAGAGCTGTAGCACAAAATTTGTATTACTGTATGTTATACATTTTAAAATAGTTAAAGTTTGTGTTGTATTTAGCAACAATAAAAAATTGGAAAACAATTTCCATCTTAAGCATCTTTAAATGTCCACTTCAGTGGCATGTTCATAGTGTTGCACTGCTATCCCTGCTGTCCACTTTTGTCTCTTCATTTGGGCCACATTCTGCTTTCTGCCTCCGTGATTTTGCTTCCCATGAGTCCCTCACATAAGTTGAATTACACAGTATTTGTCCTTTCTCACTGGCCTATCTCTCTTAGCATAATGTCTTCAAAGTTTATTCATGTTGTAGAATATTACAGAATTTCCTTATGTTCACATTTTGATTATATATGATCTGTTGATGGACACTTGGATTGTTTCCATATTTTAGCTGTTGTGAATAACAGCTAAATGACAGCAATGAGCAAGAATGTACAATATATCTTAAAGACCTTGTTTTTAGTTAGTTATTTTTGGTTACATAAGATGGTAAATTTTATATATATTTTATAATTTTATAAAGCAAAAATAATTTTGTAAAGCAGTAAGAAGTCAATAAAAATAAATTGATAGGGAAAATTATATAGTTTTAAGACAATGAGATAAAATATTTTAAATGAAATAAATATCACTATTACTGACCTGAACAAACTTACCTGAAGTCCAGATTTGCCAAATAGTGCACACAGAGAGCTTAAAGCTGGGGCAATGAAAGAGGAGAAGGGAAGTTTCTCTGGCAGCTCTATCTCCCCCACCTTAGTCTTTTTTTTTTAATTTTTATTTTATTTATTTGACAGGTAGAGTTATAGACAGTGAGAGAGAGAGAAAGGTCTTCCTTCCATTGGTTCACTCACCAAATGGTCGCTATAGCCAGCGCCATGCCAATCCGAAGCCAGGAGCCAGGTGCTTCCTCCTGGTCTCCCACTGCTCTCCCAGGCCACAGCAGAGAGCTGGACTGGAAGAGGAGCAGCTGGGACTAGAAAACCTGGCGCCCATATGGGATGCCGGCACCACAGGTGGAGGATTAACCTAGTGAGCCACGGCGCCAGCCCCACCACCCTAGTCTTTTTCTGTTTGTTTTTGTTAAGATTTTATTTATTTGAGAGGCAGAGTTACAGACAGAGGGAGAGACAGAAATTAAGGTTTTCCATCCGCTGGTTCACTCCCCAAATGACCTCAACGGCCAAAGCTGGGTCAATCTAAAGACAGGAGCCAGGATCTTCTTCCAGGTCACCCACACAGATGTAGGGGCCCAAGCACGTGGGCCATCTTCCACTGCTTTCCCAGGCCATAGCAGAGAGGTGGATTGGAAGAGGAGCAGCCAGGACATGAACCGCAGTGCATATGGGATGCTGGGGCCACAGGCGGAGGGTTAACCTACTACGCCACAGTTCCAGCCCCTCTTTTTTTTTTTTTTTTTTTTTTTGAGTTAGAGAAGATCAGACTCTCTAAGTCATCACATAAATTAGGCATCACTTCAGCTACATTAAAAACAGTAGTAACTGTAGTTTTTTTTTGTTTGTTTGTTTAAGATTTATGTATTTCATTTGAAAGGCAGAGTGTTACAGAGAGAGATTTTCCATCCGCTGGCCCACTCTCCAAATGGCCAGAATGGCTGGAGCTGAGCAGATTTGAAACCAGGAGCCAGGAACTTCTTCCAAGTCTCCCACATGTGTGAAGGGTCCCAAGAACTTGGGCCATCTTCCACTGCTTTCCCAGGCCATCAGCAGGGAGCTGCATTGGAAATGGAGCAGCCAGAACATGAACTGGCGCCCATACGGAATGCCGGCATTGCAGGTGCAGATTAACCCACTGTGCCACAGCACTAACCCCAGCATTCTCAACGGACCAAATCACTATTTTGAATATTATGTGTCTATTTAGAGGAACACTGAGGAACTAGAATAGTGAACAGGCTGCTCAGTCTGCAAAGCATGGCCCATGGAAACAGACTTCCAAGATAGAAGCCATGATCTCTGTCTGTAGCCGTTTGTGGAACAAGGATATGAAAGAAGAATTTATTTGGAACATGGGTAAAAATTATAGAAGGACAGATTTCAACTCCACGCACACACAAAAATACTGTTTGAAACTTAGAGTTACCCAACAGGCTTGCAGGCTGCTTTGTTGGGAGATCTATTCCCCCACCGGAATATTTTAAGAAGAAGATAGCTTACTTTCTCTCTGGAATTGTATGGGAAATGCCTTCCTTGGTGGTGGTCTCTGGGACATTTATTTAGTTCCTTGAGACTTGAAAACCACTGATCAAGACCATAACAGCCAGATTAAAAGTCTCATTATTCTCAGTGTTTATTTTTCACTTTAATCATTCAGTATAAAAAGTGAGGAGCCACTGAAAGATTCTGAGCAGAAGAATGACATGGTTTGATTTTTATTTAGAAAGGTCACTGAGTTGGCAATATGAGAATTAAAATAAAAACTAGGGTCCTGGAAGCCAGGAGACTATTTTAGAGGCTGCTGCCATGGCATAGGTAGGAAATGATTAGAAACAAAACCAAGACAGTAGCAGTGGTGGATAGAGAAAATGGGCTGGATTTAAACTAGTCCATTAAGAAGTAGAATTAAAAAGATCTGACAGATGATGGGAAGGGAGAAGTCTGAGTTAATTCTGATTTTATTGCTTTGGGGATTGAGCCAATACTGTTGAGTTTGGTAGAGGTAGAATTTGTGGAAGGAGCTGTAGGTTTGAAGGGAAAAATCTTTGATTTAGCTTTTGAACTGGTAAATTAGCTGGTAACTTAAATTCACCTCAGATTAAGTAATCCAATAGTGGGGCTGGCACTGTGGCTCACTTGGTTAATCCTCTGCCTGTGGCGCCGGCATAACACATGGGCGCCGGATTCTAGTCCCGGTTGCTCCTCTTCCAGTCCAGCTCTCTGCCATGGCCTGGGAGTGCAGTGGAGGATGGCCCAAGTGCTCGGGCCCCTGCACCCGCATGGGAGACCAGGAGGAAGTACCTGGCTCCTGGCTTTGAATCGACACAGCTCCAGACATAGTGGCCACTTGGGGAATGAATCAACAGAAAGATCTTTCTGTCTCTCTCTCTCTCACTGTCTAACTCTATCTGTCAAATAAAATAAATAAATAAATAAATAAATTTTAAAAAAAGTAATCCAATAGTAAGAATCTGCAAAGTTGGATATACAATTTAGGAGCCGTATCTGAGCCAGAGAAATAGCACTGGGAGACGTGGATGTGAGTATGACAGGCAAAAACGTGGAAGTCCAGGGTGACTGGGACTCAGCTAGGGAGACTGAGAAGCAGTCAAATAGATATGGGGGGGGGGGGCCCTCAGGTAAGCCCTTATAATATCCTACAGTCCATAGTTTATAATTGCAATGACAATACAGGCTTAAATGTAAAGAGACAGAGCACCAGAAACATTAGGTTTTTAAAATTTACTTTCTTTGATAGATTTCATATGCAGCTGAAAATGATTTTTCATAAAATTGTGATGAAGATTCTAAAATTCTGAAATAGTCTGTAATTTTAAGAATATTCTGGGTCTTTGCCTAGTCATTAGTTTTAATTTTTATTTGGTCTAGATATTTTTGGCTTTTTCCATTCTTATTTTATTTTACTTTGTTTTTTTATGAAATTGACTATGTTAGCTTTGAGTCAGACCAGTGCAGATATATTATATGGCTCAATTAAAAATTATGCTTCAATAAAAATCATATTTCTTTAAACATAAGAGCTTATTACCCTTATTATTATTATTATTATGTTCTTTGTTACCTAAGGAAATGCAACTTCACCACAAGTACAAAGACCATCATTCATGGACTACTTTGATAAGCAGGACTTCAAGAATAAGAGTCATGAAAACTGTAATCAGAACATGCATGAACCTTTCCCTATGTCCAAAAATGTTTTTCCTGATAACTGGAAAGTTCCTCAAGATGGAGACTTCGACTTTGTAAGTACACTTCCATTCTCCCAGTTATGTTTTTTCCTTCTGGATTTTGTCATCACATTGATAAATATAATTTATATATATATACACATATATGAAATGTGATTGGAAATAAAATTATAGATTATATTAAATTCATTCTATAACCAGATATGTGGGTTAGGGGTATGGTGAAATTGTAATTTCTTGAAAAAATGTGTTTGCAGAAAAATGTAAATAATTGCTTGTAAGTAAATAAATCAGTTCAAATTGAGAGAAATATTTAGAGCTCCTTAAAACTAAAGGGACAACTATTTCAAAAGATGTTTTCAATGATGCAAGTATGAGATACACTGACAGTCTTGAAACTCAGTTATCAAAATAATTTAAAAGGTGTAATGACATAGACTTTGAGAAATTTACTCCAACTTTGAAGATTAACTGAATTAGTTTCTACTTAAATACGTTTCAATTCCACTTGGTTTGTCAGAAATAATAGTCCTATTCTATATCTGGATAGCCTATAAACTAAAATCATAAAATCATGCCTTATCTCCTGTTACATTTATTGCTCTTTGCTGCTCCTTATTATTTAGTTCTTTTGAAAAATATAGTTCAGATAAACTATCCTAAAGCAACTGTTTGTACAATGTGAAAGAAGCAAATTCTCAAAATGAGTTGCATTTGGTAAAAAAATTAGAGTAGACAAGCAAGTATGTTTTAACTAATTACTTTTTCATGCTGTTTTAGAAGATTTTTCTAAATAAAATTAGGATGCTTTATAATTCTGTTTATCAGTAAATACAGTTATTTATAAGTAAAATTTCAATCCACAGGGCCTTCAAAAAGTTCGTGGAAAATGATATTTAAAAAACTATGCATGAGTCTCAAGGTTTTTGGCACTTAAATAAGCTTATCTTTTAATTCCATTTTCCACATACTTTGTGAAGTACCTTTGTATATGTATACTTTAATTCTTTTGAAGCAATGTTAAACCATTTTGCTTACATATCATGATTTTAAATGCTTTGAGATTATAAATATTTTAAGTTTTAAGTACCTAATATCAAAATCTGTTCTTAAAAACTTTAATACTAATTGCTAGCAACTGTTAGCAATGTAATTCATAGGTTAGCTTGAAAATGTTATTTTTAATATCTACTTGCTGTTTTTTCAAATGTTGAAGTAAAAAAAAATTAGAAAAATGCAATCTGGATTTCTCCAGTTCTAATAAGATTTCATTTTAAGCTATTTATGCTTTAAAATTTATAAATTATTTAGAATACTGACATTCAAGCTTTAAATCATTCATGAACACAATGAATAATGTAGAGTATTTAGCATCAGAGAACTCTGCTTTGTCTCAGTTGGAATAAGTCCTAATAGCCTTTGGGAAATAGTTTGAAATGAGCGAGCACAAGTAATGAATAAATTATCATAGTTAAGGAATAACAAATAAAATGATTTAATTCTGTTTCTTTTAGTCTTTGCTGCCACCCCAAAACATAAGGGTTTAGCATAACAACTATTTTATTTGCTCACCATTTTGTGGGTTAACAGTTTGCACAAGATCAGTGAAGAGGTTCTTCTGAGGTTTCTCAAGTGACTACAGTCATCTGCCAACTTGACTGGGACAGAGTGATCTCTCTAAATTACCTCCTTCTGTATCTAGCAGTTGTGCTAACTGTTGGCTAGGTCATATAACTCCATTAGGCAAACCTGGGGTTTTCATGTGGCAGTAGCTGCCTTTCAAGAGAGTAGAAATGAAAGTTGCAAGACCTCTTGATCTTAGCTTAGAAGGCACACATTGACTATGTACAACAGCATCAGAAAGAATGAAATTCATAGGAATAATCTTAAGCAAAGAAGTGAAAGACTCATACACTGAAAACTGCAAAATGTTAAAGAAAGTAAAGAAGATATCAGTACATAAAATGATAGTTTTTTTTCATGGATTGGAAGACTTGATATTGTTAAGATGTTAATACTGCCCAACATGATATATAAGAGCCTAATAAATTTTTTGTAAAGATATACAAAAAAAATTAAAATTCACATGGAATCTCAGGGGATCCTAAATGGTCAAAACCATCTTGAAAAAGCAAAACAAAAATGGAAGTCTCATCTTTCCTGATTCCAAAATGTGCTACAAAGGAACTATAATCAAAAAGGCGTGGTGGTACTGGCATAAAGACACAGTTATTGACCAATGAAATACAAAAGATAGCCTAGAAATAAACCCTCTTCTCCATGATCAAATGATTTTGTAAAAAAATTTTTTATTATTTATTTTTATTTTTTTGACAGGCAGAGTTAGACAGTGAGAGAGAGACAGAGAGAAAGGTCTTCCTTCCGTTGGTTCACCCCCCAAATTGCGCCATGACCGGCACGATGCACTGATCCAAAGCCAGGAGTCAGGTGCTTCCTCCTAGTCTCCCAAGTGGGTGCAGGGCCCAAGCCCTTGGGCCATCCTCCACTGCCTTCGCCAGGCCACAGCAGAGAGCTGGACTGGGAGAAGAGCAACCAGGACAGAATCCGGCATCCCAACCGGGGCTAGAACCCGGGGTGCCAGCGCCACAGGTAGAGGATTAGCCTAGTGAGCCGCGGCACCGGCCGATCAAGTGATTTTTGACAAGCATGCTGAGACTATTATTCAGAGATAAAGGACACTCCTTTCAAAAAAGTGGTGCTGGGAAAGCTGGATATCCACATGTAGAAAAATGAAGTCAGCCCTTTACTTCATATCATTTACAAAAATTAACTCAAAACACATCAAAGATCTAAACATTACAACTAAAATTCTTAGCAAAAACATAGGGGAGAAGCTTCATTGGTATTGGATTTAGCATTGATTTCTTAGATGTGACACCAAAAGCATAGGTGAAGAAAATAGATATATTGCACTATATCAGCTTTGGGGCACCTAGGGCTTACGTTGCTTGTTTCCCATATCAGACTGCCTAGGTTTGATACAAAAAAGTTCCACTTCAGACTGCAGCTTCCTGTAATGCAGTCTCTAGGAGGTAGTGGTGATGGCTCAAATGACTGGGTTCCTACCACACACACGGGGGACCTGGATTGAATTCCCAGTTCTTGACTTTGGCCCCAACTAGGTGCCCTTGTGAACATTTAGAGAGCAACCCAGTGGGTGGTGCCCTCTCACAAATAAATAAGCTTTTAAAAAAAATTAAAAGCTTTTATGCATCGAAGGACAGTACCAACCGAGTGAAAGACAAAATATGGAATGGGACAAAATATTTGTAAATCTTAAATCTTAATATCCAGAATATATATTGAACTCCTACAATTCAATAACAACAAAGAAAACAAACATTCCATTTTGTCAAAGGACTTAAATAGCTATTACTCTGAAGAAGATAAACAAGTGGCTAATGAGCCCATGAAAAGATGTCCAGTATCACTAATCATTAGAGAAGTGCAAATCAAAGTCACAATGAGATCCTATTTTATACTCATTAGGATCACTGTTCTCAAAAAGCAAAAGAGCACACAGTATTGTGTATATTTTACTACAAGAAAATAATAAATACATAAGAGGTGGGGGGAAATTAGTCAAAATATATCGGAAGGCCAGTCTGAGTTTCAGAGATATGGAAGTAGATGTCACCTCCTGAGAGGACAAACAGCAGCTACATTGGAAAGGGACCTGTGGGGTGGGGAAAAATTGTTATATTTGCAAATAATCTACTAGAAATTGTGATAATTAAAATTTAACAGAAATTGAAATATTGAACTTAAGAAACTGGAGAACACTTGTGATCTTTTAAAATTTCCACATACACAGTTGTCTTGACACATAGCCTTCCATAGTCTCTGTTAGGCTTATTCTAGCTTATGAATTGGTTTCTCTGGTGGCTAGCTCATATAAGTTAACTTTTTGTAACATTTTCAGTTCATCAAGTGTTTTAGAGTTTCCTTTACTTGGAAATTTCAAGATTTATTAGGAAACGCTAAGCTAGATTAAGCAATGTTCAAAACTTTTTGCTTTGGGCTGTGCTGAACACTATGGTTAAAATTATATTTATACTGATTTATTAAGTTAAGAAGACAAGGTAAATTAATGGTTGGTTAAGTTATAATCCCGAGCAATAATTCAGACATTGTCAAGTGGCTGTGGATAAGAGGGGGACTTAGTGAAGGCTCATGTAGTTTATGAAATTATAATGTGGAAGGAGACTTTGTCTAAGCTTTGTAAGATGGATAGCAGAAGGAGAGGAGGCAGGCACTTCAAAAATAATGTGTGTAATAAAAGCTTAGAGGTAGAAAAGCACAAGCTATATTGGGTGTCAGTCAAGTAGTGACTTCCAGGTCTCTGAAGTTCATTTGGAACATCATAGGAGATAAAGTGGGAAGGTAGGTGCAGGTCAGATGAGGGAAGCCTTACAAAATTGCCAAGTCTGAATTTGTATTTCCTAAACAGTAGGAAGCCACTGAAAACTTTTTTAAGTTGAAGAATGACATGATGAAGTATCTTTAAGTCTGGGGCCTGAAATAGTGGAGTAATAAAATGGAAAAGAAGAAAAACAAAAAACAGGAATAGATGTAGGAGATACTAAAAAAGATTATTTCAAATAGAAATAGCTGATTTACTACATTGAAGAGTACTGTTTGATTACAGTGATGAACTAAATGATAAAGGATGAAAGTAATAAAATAAAGACAAATGCTGTCACAGTAGAAAAGAGACTTTAAGAGTTCCTGTGACTGGATCCAGTTTTTTGCAGACTTCTTTCTTCTCTGACTGCTATAGGACAGTAAGCTCTCAGAAAGCAGAGAGGAGGGAGCTGAAACTTTCTTCCTTCCTGGACATTGATTGCCCCTGTCAATGGGAGGCCTTGGACTTTGTCACCCAGAGGAAGAGGAAAACTTTGTAAAGGCTCCTGAGGGGAATGTAAAGGAGGAAGGGGGAGGGGAGGAGTAAGAGATGCATAAAGAAGGGATTGCCAGGAAATGAATCAAGAATTGCTGAGAGTAGGAGCATAGCAAAAGACAAGGGAAGATGT